ATGACAAAATATTTGATAAAAATAAAAGCAAATCGTCGAAAGAAAAATAATTCTACAGAGAATTCATAAGATAAAAATTGCGGTTTAAATGACTTGTGCAAACGACATATGAAAAGAAAAACAGAATCACAGTTAATGATAGCCCAAGAAAATGAGTATTTAGACTAATTATATCAATACGAAAATCAATTAAAAAATTCTAACAATTGTTGTTAATTTTCATAGATGACATATTTGGAACAGATTAACTGGGAATTCAAAAAATAACTTGATGTTTTACCATTCGAAACATAAGTTATTATATAAACCAGAGAAAGTAGCTTGTACCTATAAACAGTGGACGTTGGGAATCGTCCCAAAATACATAGCAAGAAGAAATCCTCAAAAGAACTGAAATCATTTAGATTAATGTCACAGTTGAAGTTGCCTCGGATACCAACAAACAATTAGAGATTTGAGGAAATTTGCCGTTAGAAAACAAAGAAAACCAGATACTTCTGGGGTGAATATGGAAATAATAATAATAATAATAATAATAATAATAATAATAATAATAATAATAATAATAATTATTATTATTATAACAATGCAATAATTACTGCTCTTGAGACTAATTCTTATAATAAAAATAGCATCTCTCGTCGATAACATAATTAATCTATTATGCTATAACTGAAAGTATTGATAATGACTGAATACTATCATTTATTATCTTGATAATAATTTTAATATAAGTTATTTCATTTATAATGGGTGCTGAATAATTCCCGACTTGACCCACTTCCCAAATATGATTAAATGGTTTGGCAAATAAATTTTCAGCACCCCTTCCCTCTTACTCACCTACATTGGTTAGAATTACTAACCATCTTGCCAAATACAGCAGCAGCAGCAGCAGCACCACCACCAATAATAATTATTATAAATATGAAGTCAATGTGCGTGTTTATTTGGGTATTAATTAAGTCGGCTCTCTTTACTGCGCTACTGAATGCATTGTTAATGAACATGGATGAATTTAAGGAAATGACAGACTGTGTCGTGAGGGAATAGAAGTAGCGACAGTAGAAAGAAAAATAGGAACGGAAATGGATCGAATATCTAATGATGTTGACAAAATGAATTATTATAGCGTTCGAAGAAAAAGAAAACTAAAATAAAAAGAGCAAAATAGGAAAACTGCGTTGCACATAATGAAATATAGTGAGCATACTGGGTAAGACTCATTATAGAAGCTTACAGAGGAAATCAGATTGAATTGAATAATAATAATAATAATAATAATAATAATAATAATAATAATTTCAATGCCTGGGGTCGAAGATATCCTACTGATACCGTTCCACCAAATAATGGAAATGGACACCCTCAGCGGATGATTCGAAATGATAGCCAACTTCAACTAACACTTACTAATAATCAAATGATAAAGTTATTAAAAAGAGTAAAATGGAATAGACAGAATTATACTACGACGCTAAACACAAAAGATTGCTCATATATTTCTATAACTTCCTCAGAAAAACAATCTTAGGTATCTAGTGAAATACTTGGTAACTGATTGTATGAAGGAGCAAGTAAAATAATAATAATAATAATGTCGCTGTTGCGGCAGACCACAGAGTAGATCTTAAAGTAAATACAAATATAGATAAGTATCTCAACCTTTCCAGAGGAATGAAGAAATTATGCAACATGTGACAATTGTGCCAATCGGATCGACTATTGAGAAAAATTCTACAGTATCCAAGAGATTTGTTGTCACTTAATCTCCAGTGTAAGGCATTAATTACTGCTGGTGATTAAATAATAATAATAATAATAATAATAATAATAATAATAATAATTGATATGGCTTGTCCAGCGGATTGTAACATAGCAACCAAGGAATTTGAAAAACTATCAAAATACAAAGACCTGGAAATTGAAATAGAAAAAATGTGGAAATTGAAAACAAGAATAATACTAGTGGTAATAGGTGCACTTGGAATTATAAAAAATGGAACAAAACAACACATTGAAAGAATCCCTGGAAACCCCAGCTTAAGAGACATACAGAAAATTGTCTTATTAAGTACAGCACACACACTAAGGAGAACTTTGTCTATGTAACGCTAGCAACTTCATCGGAGATAAAAAAAAAAAAAAAAAAAAAATTAACATGAAATGTGGCCATAACAACACACCACGACCTGCCTTAGGTCTTTCCGCAGACTTGGTAGGTAGTGTGTCCATAGCAGAAATCGAATGATGATGATGATGACAACAATAATAATAATAATAATAACGATGATGATAATAATAAATTGCCATTATTATTGGTAAAAGAAAAAGGAGCAAATGAGGAATAGATGTTTCTTTGGTGATGTATATTTAAATAAAAAATGTTATTGTTTGTATCGTTTTTCTACTTGTGGCTACTTAAGCAAGAATATTAAAAATTCGAGAGAACAATACTATTAGAATTAGTAATAGCCTCAGCGAACATTTATTTTTTTTACTACCTTAAACATTTTAGGTGAAGCAACAAACAATTTAATGTACGTTGCAGATTCAATGTTACCAAAAGCCAAGCAGAATGATATTGTAAAATCATAATGTTGATATTTTGGTAAAATGCTAAATTCTTTCGATATTTCCATTTATGCATCGAATAGAGTTGTGCATTTGAGTTAAAGACTATGTTCAATTTAATGTTTCTTTAAACTGCTCTGTCTATGATCTGACATTCTGTTTTAAGTCACAAAATTTGAGAAATATATCAAAGATAGAGGATAACAGAGAGTAACATCACCAACAGCAGTAGCCATTCTTCAAATTGTTCGTAGCTGAAACATTTTAGATGAAACGAAAAATAACAGACGTTGTGAGAAGTATTTTTAATAATATAATTCTTCCAATACAAGGCTCGAGAACCATTCAAAGTAGCAGATTACTGTTAGAATGGTTATGATAAATGGGGCGTGATATATAATAAGAGGACAGATAACGAGTAACCCTTGATTTGAAAAGGTTAAGATTGAAAGAAAACCGAATGATAAAGAAAGGGGAAACCTTGAACTATCTTAGTCTAAACCTAAAAAAAGAAAATAAATATACAAATGAATAATCTTCTATATGGCAATGAATACTGAACAATTTCCTAACAGATGAAGAAACTGTGAAATAAGGGTACAAGAGGATAACAGCAATCAGAAAATAAGGGGTTAGTCCATAAAACATGAGGACGATCTTCAAAAGTGGTTCAACACTTAGCAGATACTTCTTACCGAGTAAGACTTTCCATAGAAAAGAACATGATTAAAGACTGGGTTTACGCCATCCCATAAAACTATGGCAAGAAATATAAAAGGAGAAACAGGCAGCCCTCTTAATATAAGCCCGAAGGAAGACCGTAATGCTGTAACACGAGGGGAAATAGAAAAATCTGGCTTGACTGACCATATATGGAGGGAAAAGGAAGATCAACGCCCTCTGTGAGATGAGGTTGAAATAATAGACAGAGAACAACACTGGAAAATAAGAAAACGCATATGTCATGCACAAAAAAATCCTACGCCGACCAAGCACAGACATGAATACAACATGGGAACCAATAATGCAAAGTAATAGAGAAAAGCAACAATAACAACAAATTGTAAAATATGATTACTTAAACATTTAGGTTGTAAATAGGAAAGGTTGACACACATATAGAAAATAAGGAGTAGTTTATTCTTGAGGATAATATGGTACACGGCTGAGAACACAGACTAATGAAAAAAGCAGTTAATTTACCCGAGACCACCCCCACAAGCCGGGATGTGGGTCTTTCCGAGCGAGTACTCTCGGGCAAAAATTCCCCATAGACCCTGCATACACGGAGTCGGGCATCTGTCTACATACCCAGAGGAGACTCTGCTCTTCGGCATAGCCTCGTCTGGGTTCCTCTCCTCCAGGAGGAAGATATGTTGAAAAGATCTAAGTGTTAATCGTTAACTCCTCGGTATTTATTCGAAACTTCCCCACAAGGCGGGATGTGGCACAAGACCGGTTTTTAACGTGGGACTTTCCGAGCGCGTATGCTCGGGTAAAAATTCCCCGCATACGCAGGGTCGGGCAGCAGTCTACATTCACAGACGAGAGAGTATCCTTCGGCATAGCCTCGTCTGGATTCCTCTCTGCTCAGAGGCAGAGAGGTCGACAAAAGAGTTAAATGTTACCTCTTCTCTCTCAGTAAGAGAGTGTGCTGTTTAAATAGTCGTAGACAGTCCATCTAGTGGGGTTGTTTAGTTACTCCACAAAAATGACCCTGTGGATAAAAGCGTTGGTTGAGAGATGCGAATTCAGACGTCAACAAAAACGTGGAGAGTTGAGTTGCTAAAGGGACATAACTGAAACTGTGGTATCCAGAAAAACGCAGAGCACGTGGGACAACCTACCCCGGTGGAAAACAATAATAAATAAAGAGTTCGGATCGAAATTCCGACGTTTATCACCTAAAGAAGGTCAGAGCGTAAAATGGGACCAATAGTTCGAACAATGTAAACAATGTAAATAGTTACAATAACTCACCTCAGAAATATAGACAGAAGATGAAAAAAAACTTGACATGGTTCTACGAGAATACACTGGACAAAGTATGTGAAAAATGAATAAATATTAAGAATAGGAACTACGAAGATACTGCTGCTAACAATCACACACACACACATACACACACACACATACACACACACATACACACACACATACACACACATTCACACACACATACACACGCAAACACCCACGAACAGAGATAGATAGATAGATAGATCGGAAGTTTTGAGGATATATAAAGGGAAAAAGGCTTGTAGAATTTGAAACTAAACGTGCACATTGAAGGTAAAAAGAACGGGAGAAAACCGAGTAATGTATTTGAGAAGTTTGAGTAAAATAATGACAGAACAAGTATCACAAAGAGTAAGAAAAGATTTGTTAGATCAACAAAAATAGGAAAGTCAGGATCTCTCATGTTTTTAAGAGAAATGGTACAGAAAGAGAAATAGAAAGTAATCAAAAGTAAAGGAAAAAAGAAGACATGAAAGGAAACAGATATCTAAAATATTGAAAAGGACAAGAAGAAAGATAGAAGGTGAAATTCTACAAAAGTAGAATGGACGAAATTTAAAGAGGAATGAAAAAGAGTGATAAAAATAAGAATGGAAATCAGAAAGAAGTAATAAATGCTGAAGAAAAACGATAAGAAGGAGAGTAGGAAAAAATAGCAGAAACTGATTAAATAAATGAATGAACAAACAAATAGGTGTGAAAGAAAGAAAGACAAAGTAAATTACTGAGAGTAAAAAAGAGAAATAACCGAGAAGGAAAAATAAATAAATAAAGTAAATGAATGTGAAAGGTAAATGGCTGTGAAAGAAAGAAAGAAAGGTGAGCCGATAAAAGATCAGTAGATGAAAAAGGAGAAAGTTTAGAATAAAGAATAGAAATGGCTCTTGTGCGTGCGATGAATAAAAGTGATTGAAGAATGTAGCTTCCAATGTGAGAGTAAAACGGATGTTACCAGCTGTCAATCGGATTAAGACGGAAAGAGCACAGTCATTGATTACGTCATCATATGGCCAATTGCAAGAAAACTGACTTTGTTTACAGAAGTTGATTAAAAGCGATTATTCTGAAGGTCCGAACAATTTTGATTTTGTATCCTAAGCACGGATACAGTCACCTATTATTTTTTCACTTGCTTATGTGGCTACCATAGACAGAATATGTGAGCAAGGAGGAAGTTTTTAGAAAAAAAAAAGGAACGATAAAGGATACTTGTACAGAAAGAGCTACAATTTTGGAATTGATTCTGTAGGTAATTAAAGGTATATGTAAATCTACGTAAATAGTAAAAACTAGTTTCATTTATTATATTTGTTTTCTTTTACAGCAAGGTGACAAAACCGAATTTTTATATTAGAATATAAAGTAGTAACTAAGCATAAACTACAAGAAGACAGAATTCATGGTCATCAGCAAAAAGATGAGCTTAAAATGCAAATTACAGGTCGGGAACACTAAAATCAAGCAAGTACAGAAATTTAAATATCTGGGAAGTGTTATAAATGAAGACGGAAAGTGCGACGTTGAGATCAGAAGAGGTATTGGGATAGCCAAAGATGTCTTTCAAAAGTTAAGCAGAGTATTAAGAGACAGAAAAATTTCATTGGAAACAAAGAAAAGCGTACTGGACTGTTGCGGGACATCTATCTTTCTGTACGGCAGCCAATGCTAGGCAGTCGCCTCAAAGATGAAGTAGAGACTTGGAGCAACAGAAATGTGGTTCTACAGAAAGATACTGAGGATACCATGGGCCGAATATGTGAGCAATAAGGAAGTTTTGAGAGAATAGAAACAAAAAGGAAACTTATACTTAACATCAGGAAGAGGCAGTTGAAATTACTTGGGCACGTAATGAGGAAAGATAGCTTAGAAAATCTCATATTCACGCAACATTTTGAAGGAAAGAGGGGTAGTGGAAAGCAGAGAGTAACATAATTGATGAGCTTGTGTAAATGAATGGTAGAAATAACAAAAAGACAAAACTTGTTGAGAGTTACAAGGGAGAGAGGAAGATGTGTAGGGTCATGATCGCCTACGTCCTGAAGGGACATGGAAGAAGAAGAAGAAGAAGAAGAAGAAGAAGAAGAAGAAGATAGACAAGAGAATATAACACAGCATAAAGTTTCCAATATTTTTAAGGACAACACAGTTGTCCAATTGCGTCATTTTTGACGGCACGGCTAAATTCAGGTGTAAAATAAAACTTATTGAAATATTTTGCGTTCGAGATGTACTAAACTCATAGCAAGTGGATTTTGATTTGGGGATTTTTCTCGTAGTAAGTTTTCAGTTGATAACATACTGAATTAGAAAGACTTATTCTTCTCCAACGAACACTAAATCAAAAGCATTACCTGCTCTCAGTCACTATGAGTCCGATAAAGCTACAAGGGATCTAAAACTTCAACTACTCGGGCAACGTCATATTATCGGATGTCAGATTGGACAAAAGGAACAGACTGGGCAAGATTAATCATGTCTTCTGAAGACTGCACAGAAATGTTTCGGACAACAGAAATACGGAAATATAAAATCTCCAAAAATATCGTGCTATCCATTCTTCTATATAAAACCAAAATCCAAGTTCATATACCAAAACCAGTTACGGTAAATATTGCCTCTATATTCCTTTAATAGTACATTGGAGAGATTTTATTGCTAACTTGAGAACTAGGCCGAGCCAGAGAGGAAGTGTTAAAACAATGCTACAAAAGTCACAAGTGCGGTCACTAGACCACGTGGCGGGGATGGAGGAATATCGTTTTCTATAGACATTCCTATTTCGAGAAGTAGTCTCAGGGCGAGGTCTTACTGAAGAGATACGTGGAAAAATTCTTGGAAAAGATCCTCCATCTCTGTGGATTCAACTACCATCAGCAAGAGAAGCAAACGACACACCAAAATAGCCAAAGAAAAGATAAATAGCAAAAATGGCAGTTCCGTAAGACCGGCACTTTGAAGCCTCTTCATAAATCTATCTTTAGCTGTCATAGGTTACACAAACTGACCGCAACAGACATTGAAAACCTTCCCAAATTTTTGTTCGGGAAAGACAGGCTATGTTATTTAAATGATTCTCTTTTGATATCTTCAGCTATTATTGCCGTATTTTACTTGGATTTGTCTAATTATAATAATGCAATATTTGGCCGAAAAATAATGACAAGAATAAATTAAAAAAAAAAAATCTCGTCAACTAAGAAACACTAAATGTTAAATGAAACTTTTCGAATTAAAGTTAAAGAGAGAATAATATTGTTTGCAGTTAGTAAAATGATTGAGACTGATATATTTATAGACAGATTTTGAGAGAAAGAGAGAAACAGAGAGAGAGAGAGAGAGATTGAGTGAGTGAGAGAGGGGTGATAAAGAGAAGGAAAAAGAAGTCAGAAGAGGCAAAGAGAAGGATAGAGGAGAAGTTATGGAGTGTTGATTTCTGTAACTCAAAATATGGAAATATTCAGATTCAAATTTAGCCAATATTTTAATAAAATATCTCAAGCATTTGAGCGTGATGTACTCAAATTATTTGTCAGTTTTAGTGTGACTAACAGAGACACTATATGTAGTATTTGTGCATTACGTGCATGTTGTCGTATAAACACTGTAGCAAGAAACAAGAAATACAGCATATCAGAATTCTACCTGTTCCTTAGCACGTATGGTAGCTAATAAATAATAGACTATTTCGTTTGGGTTGCAAGGAATGGCAGAAAAGATATATCAGAGACGCTGATTGGTTTCACTGCAAGAAAGAACTAAATAAATAAAGAAAGGAAGGGGAGGAGGCGATAACGTTTGCTTCAGTGAAATGGAAAACATTTGTACTCTTTTCCTTCTTTAAATAATGAACAGAATTCATACTTATTGGGATTACAATATTTCGTGAAAGTTGTGCATCGCAAATACTTAACGATGTAATAGGAGAATTCCCACGAGTATTTTATAGGTGTGCAACCCGCAAGAAGCTTATTCAATCATTAAATTAAGATTTATGATTTGTCAGAAAATTGAAATAGTTAAACTTTATTTTTTCAAGGGTACTACTAATTATTTTACTTAATCTAATTTTTGAAAAATATAATTTCACTGCTGCGTTTAGGTTGTTTATTTCCTTGATTATGCTATTAAAATTCTATCTATCTATCTATCTATCTATCTATCTATCTATCTATCTATCTATCTGACACTAGCCTTTTATCAATGGTGAGAATAAATGTAACCGTTTTTATCGTTATCTAACGGTTGAAAGGTATGGGATAAAATATGTCCAAGCGCACATTCACTCTATACTTCCTAAACTATTGTGACATGCCAGTGACGAAACAGTTTCATCAAGATATCACGCAATGAGTGAAATCATGCCATTTCCAACGGACGATAGGACTAAGTGGACTGCACAATACACACACACACATACACACACACACACACATATATATATATATCCTTATGATATGTTAAAATTCAAAGAAAACAATTAGAGTGGAATGACTTAGAATTTATATATAAGTAATAAACTAACGGAGGCATGTAAAGATTGGCCTTGTTGCAGAGATTTTTCTTCGGCTTCAATAATCAAAAGTCAAATCCAGTTTATAGCCAGACTTAAAATGCGGAATTTAATGGATGTCGGTTATTTCCTCTCCTAAGCTGATTGGAGCCATAGAAACCTACATTCCTGATATAGCAACCATTGACGCTAGGAAAAAGCATTTCTGCCATGCATATCATCAATAATGAATTGCATCTCAGTTCGTAGTTATTTAATGTTTGGACCTGGTGTTTTGACAGAATTTTATTCAGACTTATTTTCTTTACCGCTTTTATCTCTTCTATTACTTTAATCTTTTAAAAGATTGTTAAAGTATTATTATTATTATTATTATTATTATTATTATTATTATTATTATTATTATTATTATTCGTTATATTTACTGATCGATTCATTCTATCGTTTTAATCAGAAAACTAAAGGGTTTGGATGAATGATCAATTGTAAGATAGTTATATCATAACAGGTTATCTATGTCAAGTTTTGGTGGTAGTTATTTTATTATTATTTTCTAAACTATCATTTGAAATTAATCGTTTTACTAGTGATGTAAAAAATTGCATAAATTGTGTCGTATATTCTTGCATTGGTAGTCACAATATCCTCCGACTAAAAAATCACAATACTTGGAATGTCAATATCCAGATTCTCTCGGTAATATTCTATATTATATGTGCTTATATAACGGTTCTTATCTTCTTTAAATCTTTACGTTGCTTATTCATCTTTTATTTTTTTCTCTTCTAGCGATAACATATCGTGGTTCCTTTTCTTATCCTAATTTTGATTCGTTCTTTTTTTTTCCCTTTTGTCTGCATCTTCGAGTCTCTTCTGTTCACCTTTACCTACATAGGCAGCTCAAAAGATCAGATTTAATCCAAAGGATTATAAAAATCCTTAGCGAGGCTAACCTTGGCCTGAAGAAACTCTTCATATTTGGATATAAATACTGGGTGAATCGTCAAAGAGACTGATATATTTATAGACAGATTTTGAGAGAGAGAGAGAGAGAGAGAAAAAAAGAGAGAGAGATTGAGTGAGTGAGAGAGGGGTGATAAAAAGAAGGAAATGGAAGTCAGAAGTGGCAAAGAGAAGGATAGAGGGGGAGATAAAATAGGAGAGAGTTTGGAAAGAAGCAAGAGACAAAGTAATAAAGTAAGCGTATATGGCTATATGGCCCAATTTAGACAATAATATTATCTGCAATATGTAGTGATATTTGAAGGTGATGACGCATTAAATATAGCCAGTCACGAATAAAACATCGTCTTAAGGAGGAAAGAATTAGGCAATAATGAGATGATATTGCTTCATTTTGATAACAACACTTGTAATGATATGGAGTTTAATTGTAAACTTCGCATTTGGGCTTCCGGTAATATCGATCATATAAAAAAATATGATTAACTCGATGAAATTTTGTAATATTTGTCCAAACCCTATACTGATTCATATACACACATTTGCAACCACAAATAAACTGCTATGTCTACATCTGTTTAGCTGTATAAATGCTACACAATGTATGTAGGTATGCATATATTGTGTAAACTATTAGACTATTTTAAGGCAATAAAACTAGAAGTAATTCTGAAATTTCTGGATAATCAATATTTTAATAACAAACAAGAACCGTAGACAAATTTGTCATTCTTTCAGTATTTATTGGCATGAACCTCAAAAACATTAACAATGAAATTGACTTTCTTCATTTAACAGACTAAATAAATAAATGGAATACAGAACAATCTTGAATAAGGGATAAAATAAAAGTACTGTAAAATTTAAAAAAAGAAATTATCAGTGATGAAAGCAAGTAAGAAACACTTTCTCAGCCAAGGTGACCTCAGATCTGAGGTCGCTCAAAATCTATAATTTAATCGAAATGTAATGACTACAAATTTTGATAGTTTTATTTTATTGGCAAGAAAAGTATATTGAAATATCTGGATTAGTTTAGGATCTTTAGACAAGCAACTAGGAGGCGAAGTGTATGGGGAAATACAGAACAAGTTGAAAAGAGAAGAACGAACGTGTAATTTTACACATTAATAACTTTTTTAATAAAATTATTTTTGGTTAGAAAACTCATAGTGGATATTAAATATAATAAAAACTGATGGCTAAAGTGTGAATCCGGGAATGAAGTATGAATGTTAAGAATAATGCAGAGGAAAACAATTGTCACAGAAAATCCGAGTCACTGAATGTTTCGAAATCAATATCTCTGATTAAATAAATGAACTCATAATAAGTAATTCACCAAATTAAGGAACCGACATTTTTAATTCACGGGACAATAAACTAGTAGATTAAAACTTTGGTTTTAGTGGACTAATGGATACGGATTAAAGTAAACGCCGGGTTTTCTCTAAAATAAAACATTAGTTTGTGAAACTGGGCATATAGTAATTGTGAGCTCAATTTCTGTCCCGAGGAGTACAGGGTTAGTTGATTCCAGGTTAGTAGAAACAGCGAGAGCAGTAACCAAATAATACTAAATAAGAAGAACATGAGATATCCGTAGACATGCACAGTGGAAAGAATATCATGTATTTGCTTC